ACTCCAATTGGCTCATTCGCTGCTTAAACTCGACGTTGATTCTGATTCCGCAGAATTGGGTTGAGCGTGAAAAAGTATTTGTTGTTAACATTCTTTTTTCATTCAGTTTTTCCAGTTATAAGCCCTTTTTTAAAGCTGATCGTTTTGTGGTCATTTTGTTTAGTTCTTTTTTCGTAACAGATTTAATGTTTAGTATAGAGCTTAGAAAAAATTCGCAGTGTGAGATAGGCAAGAAGTAAGGCATGTAGCAACATCAGCAAGGCAAAGGGCACTCCTTTTAAAGGCAAGGAAGGGCAAAAATATTTTAAGTCGAGTGATAGCGATTGCTGTATGAGTCGTGCGATTTTTGAATCAAACACGGGCAACGCCGGGCCATGCTGCTAGTATATATATATATATATATATATATATATATTCAACCAATAAAATCCCATCAGAGGGTTTGTTGGATTAACAATCATTACTAGGGAAAACACTGCGAAAATACTTACGGACGTAATCTTGTGTTACTTTTGGGCCATTTAGAACATAGCAATAATAACTCCCTTCGCTACTCGAGCACATTCGAGAAAAAGATTTTCGCAAGCCAGTGTGAAATTATTTCCTAACTAATGAAAGTTTTGTATTCAAAAAGTGTGAAAGATTTCAGATCACCCCTTACGAATATAAAATAGAAACCTCCTGCTTCTCAAGGTCTCAAAACAATTTCAGATGCCATTTTGATCTACGCGCGCGCGCGTTTCACACCGACTAAGAACACTTAATTACTTCATAAAACGTGTTTCACTGCAAAGAAAAATGAACATTTTATTGTTATTGTATATTTCTGAAAGAAATATATAAATGTTATTTCGACTGAAGTTCTGCTTCTAGCCTTTTAAAAGATGTTGTTGTTAAATATTTGGAATCCTGACCCTTAGATAAAAAAAAAAAAAACAAATGCCTGGGTAGACTGCTCCCAATGATAGTATTTTCTGAACAATATCAGGTGTCCATTATTTTAATTGACATGAAATATCTTATATGTTGACCGAAGTGTTATTTTGATCCTGTCATGAATTTTTGTTCGTTCCTGTTGTATTATTTACACTACTTACATTATTCTGACTAGTCTCATCTTTGTCACCATATTTATTACAGTGTTTCGGCCATTGTATGCTCTGGCCTTCTTCAGGTGATTGGAATGTCGAACTGAACTCTTTATTTCGCTCACTGGGGTAGACTGTTCTAGTTCCACGTGCCGTGTTTAATGGATGTCAGTTATCTCCTGTTAATTCCCCTCTCCAAGTTTTCCACTTCCTTAACCGGATATTGAACTCACACTTTTTGGGTCCTGATTGTTTCTTGCCAGAAAGTTTTTTCTCGTCAGGGTCCATCTTGCATATTTACAAATCTACCATTTCGTCCGTGCATTTTATAGATGCTATATATGCAAATTAAATAGCCTGTATTCCAAAATCCGAAAAAATCTGAAAATCGAAACACTTCCGGTCCCAAGAATTTCGGATAAAAGACTCTAAACCTGTAATAATAATTACATGGTAATAGTCACGATGGACACGTGGGAGAAAATCAACGCCCGTATGTAGGTGAGTGAGATAGACTTTACGGGAGAAATATCCTACAAATTATCACACTAATGGTCGGCATTTAGTCTCTGCTGCTGAGTTTGTCAAATTCCAGTCGGGTTCATTACATTCACTTAAGCGTAAATATCCGATGGGAAAGGTTTGAATCCACCCACTCCCCCCAAATATGGGTTAAAGTAGGATTTACATCTGGAAAAGGCATTATTATCACAAAAATTATTAATGTTCACTCGCAAAAAAAATTAATGATTATTAATTAAATCCAAAATAAAGTTACGGCTTTAAATAACCTACAAAAAGGGTTAAGTCGTAAAAAAAAAAAACAAATCAAACATGAAAGCAAGAAATCGTTAAATGACAGATAAGTAATATCTTATAACTAGATTTTATTTATTTATTTATTTATTTATTTTACTCTGTTTTTACGAGTTTTCTATTTTTTTTAGAATTAAGGGTCAGGAGAATTTGTCCGACGTGTTCTTGAGAAATTTCGGTTATTTTCAAGGAATAGGGGAGATTTTCTGTGGTAACGAAGATTCATATTTCTAAAAAATAAAACTTCTTACCGCCATTATACGTGTACACAAAGAAAGATTTATTTTCTAGCAATAATATCTTTCTTGTTCGTCATAGATAGCTCGCTTATTTGATAAAATATCTGCTGACCTTTTTATCCAAAGTTTACTTTAAATGTCTAATGTTTGATTAATTTAATGGGTCACTAACAATTGCTACTTCATTCATTTTGTAAAGAAAGCGAAATACAGAGCCACTTTGCCGTGCAGCAATGGTTAACTTGCACGTCTCTCCTCAGCGATTAAATCCGAATTGAATTTAAATTCTCCTAAATCTCACTGGATGCTTCGCAAATGTGATTTAGCTATCAGTCTTGTTTTTCTTGTATTTCCCACTAATCAAGGGTTAGAGTTCAAGCTCAGATAACGGCTAATGTCGAATGCTGATTTTTTTTTTTCTTCAATGCAGGCTGTTTACATTTGGCAGCTTGCAACGGCAAGGTCTTTCTACCCTTCAGTCAGTTATGTGCCATGCGTGATGCACACTTAGGCAATCATGCATCTTTCGATACATGATTGACGAGGCAGATTTCTTCCCGCAGTAAGTTGCCGTTTCTTTCTGCGGTAGTCCAGTTGCCATCAAAGGCTATAGAACACGGTCTGTCCTGCTATTTACCCATAGCTGAGGGAGGAGAAGAGGATTCGTACTTTTCTCAAGGGTTTTAGCACATAAGTGAATGTAATGGATTTGACTGGAATTCGAACTCGGCTCTCCGATTCCTTAATCAGAGCCGCTATCCATTACTGCACTAAATAAAATAAAAATAAAAAGCTCATTTCGTTTATGCTGGCGACAGTTACTTCCCTTCTATTTCTTTAAATAAGAAAATCTCCTTGGAAAGTCAGTTGGTTTGATTTGTTTTACGGTATATCAACCTCAATGTGTTATATTTAATACCGACAAAATTTTTATTGCTGGTAATATGTTTTTCTTCAAAAATTTATTTCTGGGAATATTTTTCCTTTAAGAAATCTATAATTGGTCATATTTTTTTCAAAGAATGTATAACTGTTTGTATTACTGGTACTTTTTTTTTTTTTAAGTATTGCTGCTAATAGTTTTTTTTATTACAAAGTATTTCTGGTATTAAAATTTTATTGGTATTATTATTTCTGGTATTAAAACACAAGTTTGGGTGTTAACTATTTGCCCATACCTGGGACCCTAACAGGTGCTACCACCCCGGATCAGGGTGGACCTGGGAACACCAGCAATTAAGTGGTTCCATGCTCCTCAAATCGTCCTGATCTGAGACCTTGCTGTTCAATGTAGTTTATCATCTTACCCAGGACGAGAAAGTAAATTATGAATAGTAAAATCTATTTATTTAGTGTTACATTTTGATTGAATTTTGCATGCCCTTAGCTAACTTATTTAACCTCTCGAAAAGTACTCCTTGTTTAACTGAACAAGGGCCTAACGAATTATTTGATGACAGCGTTAAAGAAGAAATGAATAACAAAGCAAAATATTAAAGGTTTACATTTTTCCTATTTTTTATTTTCTCCCTGAAAAAAAAATTTATGTCCTTTGCTAATGGCCTAAATTGTCTTATCAACTTTGTTAAAGTCGTAATTTGTTTTCACTCAAAATTTTCTAATACCAATAAAAATTATAATTTTTAATTTTATTTAATTATAATTTTAATTTAAATTTAAACTGAAAATATAATGCCGTCGCATTTAGAAAATACTTTTATTTTATTTTTTTATTTACATTTACATTCTTTTACATTTTTCTTCTATGGCCGTGTCCATTCAGGACGTTGGCGATCATGGCCTTCCACAATTTCTTTAGCTCATAGTAAATTTTGTAGCTCTTCGTAAATTTTACCTTTTTTGTATCTCTTCTAAACCTTGTTCTGCCAACCATTTACACAAGCTCATTAAGTAAGTTATTCATTGTTTTCCTTTCTCCCTCTTGCCTCATGTGTGTCAAATTTTCTAAGCCATCTTTTCTCATTAGGCCATAGAAATTTCAACTATCCTTTTCTGATGTTAAATATAAGTGTCCTTTCTGTGTCCATTTTCTTTAAAGTTTTGTTGCTTATATGTTCAGCCCATGGTACTCTCAGTATCCTTCTGTAGAGCCACATTTCTGTTGCTTCAAGTCTCTTTATCTGTGAGTAGATTGTCCAGCATTTACTGCCATATAGGAGGACATAACAGTTCAGTACTCCTTTCTTTGTTTCTAGTGAAATTTTCCTGTTTCTTAATACTTTACTTATCTTTTGAAAATAATTTTTTTCTATACAATACACTTTTGGATTTCAGTGTCATACTTTCTATCCTCTTTCAAAAACTTCCAAGATATTTAAATTTTTGTAATTGCTTGATTTTGATATCTCTAATTTGGAATTTGCATGTTGGGCTGTTCCTTTTGCTAACAACTGTGCATTCTATTTTTTGATTTGATGTTTAGTCCTTTCTTCTTGCTTTCCTTCACTAACTTCTGTAGCAGCTCCTGTAGTTTTCTTTCTCTATCTGCTATCAACATTGTGTCATCTGCTTATTTGTAATGTCATAAACAAGCAATATGAAACAACTCCAAATTTGCACATGTTTAAAAGCAGGAGTAACATTCATGACCGCTGTTGCAGAAAATCCTCTTTTGACAAACATAAGTAAATCTAAAAATAATTAAAGAATTATAACATATTTTTTGTGTATCCTATCATATTAAATATCTTAAAAATATTTCTCCATTTATAGAAGTTATTATGTTTCGTTTTTTATGATAAACACTTGTACATTAAAGCAAAAATTTCTCTCTGAAAAAACATGTTAACCATTTCTTAAAATATGTTTTGGTTTTTTATTTTTTTTTTTTTTCCAGTTTTCAAAGAAATATACAATGAATTTAACAAAGGTGGTCCTGCTACTATCTTCGGTCACACAGGTAAAAAAAAAATTTAATCCCTTTTCAATAGTTTAAAAATTTTGAGATTAAGTAATTGCTTGGAGAATTTGAGATGAAATATTTTCATTATTGCACTCATATAAGTAATGATCACTTGGAGTGTTTTTGTTTTCTTTCAAAAATCTTTACAAATTCAATATCAATGAATATGCAGTAGGTATTTATTGTTGACTAACTCCAATAATCATCTTCTCATCTTTTCAAAAGCCACCTTTCCTTGGGTTAAATCTGTACAAAGGGAGATAAGCGAACAAAAGCATAGCTTATATCTGGACTTTATCTCTATAAGACAATTCTATATCACAGGAAGATTATTAATATAATTCCATTTCAGGGTTCCATTCAGACAATTTTTTTTTTCATTTTTGCAAGTTTGTTCTTATGCAAGTCAAATCCTCCTGTAGTAAGGTGCAATAATAGTGTCATTTAAAATTGTTTTAAAATATCTGGGGATGAGGCATCATTGTTTTTTAGATGTTAGAACATTTAAACAGCAATAAAAAAGGGGGGTGGTAAAAATCTAGAATTGGGGCTATAATTCACATGAACAAAATGGCTACTTAAAATTTTATATGTATTATTTTTCATACATTTTAAATATATATATATATATATATATATATATATATATATATATATATTTTAAGACATTTTATGTTTATACATTCTTTTTATAGATACAAATATTTAAGTAAATGCTCTGTTTATGATAAACAGTATTAATAACATTTACTGGCCTGAATGTCAGACATTTTCATAGGAAATATTTGTCCTCTGACAGGATTCAAACCTGTATCCTATATGGAACCGTCATATAGCCTAACATGCCTTTAACCGATTCAGCTACAGAGGATCGTTCTGTTTGCAAGGTTGAATTTACTGCTTTTAAACTTCAATCATCCATGAATCTCTCGCGTACATCCATATCTGCTCATGGCGTATCAAATGTAAACAAATGATGTCACACATTATGAAATGGACAAAGTCCGACAATTATTTTAAGACATTTTATGCATATACATTCTTTTTATAGATAAAATATTTAAGTAAATGCTCTGTTTATAATAAATATATATATATATATATATATATATAGTAGGTACCTATCACAGTTTTACAGACCCCACCATACATATATACATACATGCAAGGAAATATTATTCAGCATGTGTGTTGACATCGCTACATTCAAGAGAATTATTGGCAACACATCCCATCATTGAAATTCAACAATCAAATGTGTATGTATGTACGCAACAGCAAATATATACATATATATTCAAGTCTCATACTGTTCACATATGTTTATGTTTGTGTGTGCTCCCGTGAGTGAGCGTATGTGTATGCTTGTCTGCATACCTCATTGGGTGTACGGGCATGCATGTGTGTTTGTGTAAGTATGAGTGGCATCACGATGACAATTTTTCCTCCCACTTGCATAAACACCAATACATGCAACCTACATAAACCCAAAATTTTAAAACAATCAGTTTGTCTGACGATTGCAAAAGCACGAAACACAGGGTCACAAACTTACATCAATCCAACTAAATATATATATATATATATATATATATATATATATATACAATGAAGGAAGGCTTGGAAAATCTGATACTCACTGGACAGATTGAGGGGAAGATGGAACAGAAAAGCAGTGCATATCGTACTTGACGGATGGCAAAACAGAATTTGGGAGAAATAAGACAAAATTTCTGAAGAACTACAAAGGATAGGAAGACATGGAGAGCCATGATTGCCTACATCTTGAAAGCACTTAAAAGAAGTAGTAGTAACAGCAGTTGTAATAGTTTTATTATTACCACAAGAATTACCAGAATTCAGATTGGGTCAGCCTGCTTAAAACCAGTTTTGCCATAAGCTAAATTCCTTCTGTAGTGAATTGTAAAATTAGTGTCATTTAATATCAGTGTCTTGAAAAACCTGTTCTTTTTTTTCGTTGTTTTGGAGGATCACATGATATAAACAGTAATAAAAAAAAAAGTTAAATTCCATGTAACATTTTGATTTATTTTAACAATGATATAAAGAAATAATGTAAAGTTTTGCAAAAAAAAAACCTGGAAATTTACTCTGATGTGGAAGGCATTTCAATATAAAAAAATCTCCAGTTCACAGAGACTGCTAGAATTATTAATATTATTAATACTATTTATCTTCTCTAGCTTTCGAAAGTATCTTTTAAAGTATCATACTTAATAACTGTCTACTTCTGGGCTTTATTTCAAGGGACCCTTAAAGTACATGAACTGTTTTTAATGGTAGTAAGGTCAAATATGGTTTAATTACCCTCCTCTTTCTTCAATGGCTTTCAGGCCCAGTTTAAAATAATCCCTCAAAATTAACAGAACCTCACCCTCATATTATAACATCTGAAACAAATGAATACCACTGATATATATATATATATATATATATATATTGAACAATAAAAAATATTAAAAAATTAAAATCTTCAGATACACTGGGTTGTAGATTAACATTCTTTCATTTTTATTATTATTATTTCATTTAGATTCATCGACTAGTTTCGGCCAAAATGGCCATCATCAGGAGAAGAAATATTTCTGCTTGCTGATAGCAGTGAACTACAGAAATGAATGTCTTGATGGAGAAAATGAACTTTTGTCTGTAGTTTTCATTTGTTTTTTTTTTATTTTTTTTATCTTTTTAACATGAATCTTTTAACATTCCTTGTGTTGGTCAAACAGTCTCTTTTAAGTTGTTATTTGAGATAAGAGCTGGATGGATCTATGCTGCTCTGAATTCCCCAGGTCAGTTTGACAGTTTTATTGGTCCTGGAGAGGGTATGTGTCTCTGTTAAGTGTTTGTGTGTGTTATTTGGTTCTTAAGGAGTGAGTGAGTATGATATGTGTAAACATGTATATTGCTGTGGGTGTGTGTTAACATTTGGCTCATTAGGGAGTGAGTGAGTATGATGTGTGTATGTTCATGTGGGTGTGTGTATACATGAGAGGCCTCAACACCTCCGTAAGCATGTCTGTCTTGTGTGGATGAGAAATGTGGGTAGGTTTTGATTTGTAGTGTTATATATTAGTACTATCTATATTGTTAAATTTATGGTTTAGCCTGGCTGGATAGTGTGTTTTTAGATGTTGTATCCACTTATTTTCATGGAACTCTAAAATCTTTCTAATGTTTTATATATATATATATATATATATATATATATATATATATATATATATATATATATATATATATACTCATGTCTCAGAAAAGGAGATAAAATCCATTCTTCCTCAGACTACTTTCTATTAAGTGTGAGAAAATGAATGACAATATTTTTCTTCAGAAAACTTAAAATGGCATTATGTTACTAGTTTATTATAGGAGTCATCAATTGATAGCAATATTGTCTTATTTGTTCAACTGGTATATTTTCTTGGGTTGGAAAGAGAGATATATTTATGTGATAGGTTGTAGTGAAGATATTATTATGGTCAGGTGAGTTTTTTTTTTTTTTTTTTTTAAACAGGAGATTATGTAATGATAGTATTAAATTGTAGGTGATATGGTACTAAGAAGTCTCCCAAAGGTGAATAAAGATAAGTCTTGATATGACAGCATCCTGTGAGTCAAGAGAGAAAGAAGAGGGAAAGACTTTGTGTTCTTTCCTTTTCTGCTGCTTTATACAATGTCACCTAGTGGGCATTAAGAGAATCCCTTGGCAGACAAAGTTGGATAATACCATACTATTCCTCAAACTGCTGATAAAACAATGTAACTTTTTATCTTCAGCATAATGGATTGTAATTTGATCTTATATATTTATTGATCTGGTTTGTTGATCATTCTTTGTATTCTATCAGAAGCAGAGCTGAATTGATGAAATTACTAATCCTGATAATAACAGCTCTGAATGACTATTGAATAACTTGTAGCTTACGTGGGTTTTCATTTTTAAATCTGCTGTTATAGTCATCTCAAATGTTGTACATTGTTTGATAAGGCAACTTCAAAACCACAATTAAACTACATACCTTCAAAAATCTATGAAAAATGAACATACATAATGAAAAAATTTCATAAGATATAAAAAAAAAAATGAATCATCAAAATTTTTAAGATGAAAGATCAATGGATGTTTTTTATGTAAAAATCTTTTTAAAACAATAAAAATTACATTAAATCTATGAAACTCTGGAGTCGTGATGCTGAAAGTCATATCAATCAGCTAAATAACAAACATTTTAATTCTTTTAATCCCCTCCCTATCCATCTATATAAAGTTTACATACTTATATATATATATATATATATATATAGAAATATAGTCTTAAGGTATGCTATATTTATGGGATAAAGTGCTCAATATCAGAGAGCGTGTGTAAATTGGCCTGACGATTGCGTCTAGCATGAAACACTGTCGCCTCTAAGTGTTGACTTCTATGTTCTCTTTATATATATATATATATATAAAAATAAAGAAATATAGTTTGAAGGTGTGCTATATTTATGGGATAAAGTGCTCAATATCAAAGATAGTGTATGTAAATATAGAAGTGAACATTGAAGTCAACACTAAGAGGCAACAGGCTGTTTCATGCTGGACACAATCATCAGGCCTGACAATTGTGTCCAGCATGAAACAGCCTGTCACCTCTGAGTGTTGACTTTAATGTTGACTTTAATGTTCACTTTAATATATATATATATATATATATATATATATATATATATATATATATATATATAATATAATGGATGAAAATTTTGGTTAAAAAATATTTTTTTCTGGCATCAATGCAGAATCATAAATTTGTATGGAAAATTTGACCATCTTTTCACAGTGTGGGTAGGTTTGGAAATTGCTGCATATTGTTAGATTTTAAAATTTTGAGAAATTCTTTATATATGTTATAAGGACAAGTCCTTGGAGAATTCAAATCTTCAAATTTCTTTGGTCAAACAGGACCTAAAGTTACAGAAAATCTGCTCTGAATCGAACAAAAAAAGGCAATAAAACTAAGACATTATTAAATTAGAAATTACTTTTATGAATAAAATATATTATGGACATTTTGTCTTAAGAAAAATTTTTCAATGAATAATAACCTTTTACAACAACTGTTTTCATTTTTTAATTTTAATTAGAATAATTTAAAATTCAGTATTAATTTGTAGCAGTCAAGTGATAGTGTTATTAAATTAAAACTGTATTTACTAATCATAAATGCAAAAGTACAGTTCAATTTAATAATTTTCAATTTATTTTATGCATGTACGGATGTCCATACATGACATTATTGGAATTTAAGAGCAGTAACTATAGTAAATTTAAAATTTATTGATAATTTTCTAACATTTCCTCAGTAAGCATCTTCATAAGTAAAGCCTAAGTACCTAAAATTAATTAAAATATTAGAATGTTTAAAATATTTTAAAATTTTAAGATTATTAAGTAGTTAAAAGAAAATATAAAAAAGGCAATTATGTTATATCATCATGTAATTTTATTTCCTTTAATCATTAAATTTTCCAAACAGTAGGTTGATCATATATCATTCAACACAAAAAAACACCCTCTTCTGTTTTATAAAATGCCTTTCTATAATAATTTAAATTAACAGTATTATTTGTTTCAATTCCAATTAACCTTTAAATCAGTTATTTTTTCTCATATAATGTTCAGAAAAGCATACTTTATTTTTAAATTTTTTAATAGAGAATTCTGTTGCATTGACAGATTTGTCAGTAGAGATGATTTTATTGATTTTTACTGATTATCAAAAATAAAAATAATTCCAATAAATTTAAACTCAGTTTGAAATACACCAAAATATTTTGCTTGTTGGAAATATTAAATTTTATTTATTAAGTTGGAATTAAAATAAAAGCTTCCAAAATTATTTTTCATTTTTAAAAATGCATTTTAAACCTTAGGTATTATTTTATTTTTTTGAGGTACCCATTTTAAACAAATTTTTATTCAACAAGAAAATATCATGTAAATTTCTCAGAAAATAGATTTAAAAATGTTTGTTGCAGGAATCACAGCTCTTGTTGCAAGGTGTCAACGTTTTTTTAGTAAATATTTAATGTCTCTTGGTACATTTGTCTGGCAAACAATATTTGGTAGACTCATGTGAGTCCGGGCAAAAAAATTAACAAAAAATCATGGAATTTAAATGGATATGTTACATAAAGGAAAATGTGAAAAAGTTAGTTGTGAAGAGTTAAAAACCACTTTTATTATGTGCCTCTGAGGTACTTACATGCCAACAAAATGAGAATAGAATGTTTTTTGTCTCTACCAAAATCAAAAGGGAAAATAAGGAAAGAAATATTTGTCTTTTTATAGATTTAAAACCGCCAGCACTGCCTAATGGTTATTTGGTGAAGTTAAGTGCAGTATACTACATGTTAAATTATTATTTTATATATTTAATTGTTCCTATACAAGGGACATGGGAATAAGTCTTTTAAAATCAACAAAAAAAAAATGGTACTTGGAATTTGAAATTGGAGTGAGTTTGGCTATACTGTTGCTGCATGTGACAAATACCGACTGGTTTTTAAAAAGTAAAACATTTATTTAAGAACATTAATTCTATAATTTTATCAATTCTTTATTTAATGAATGACAGCTATGACTGAATCATTTTTTCTTTTGGGGACATAGTGAAGTCCATTTACACTTTCATTTACTGTTTCTGTAAGGTTGTGTTGTCCTTTTATTTTCTGAAGATAGAATAAAGTTCATCTGCAATTACATTTTTGTGGGCTTTCTTTCCATTCCAAATTTATGATTATAAGATAGTCCAGTATGACTAGCTGCATTTCCACGTCTATACTTGACAAGGTTCAATGAAAGGATTCTTGAAGTTAGTGAAAATCTAGAAGTCACAAGATATTTTAGAAGAATAGTAACTTGTTTATTAGACAATCAATATCTTTGTTCCTTGGCTGCCAACTGAGGCATTAAAAATAATTCTTCAGTCTGTTCAAAATATTGGATTACCTCCCTTCCATTAGAGTTTTTAATTTTTTTTATTGTCTTATCAATTATTTTTTTCTTTATTTGTTATATTATAAAGCCACTGTTTACTCATTGTTTTCTTGAGTTCGTATAAGTGTTTTGTTATCTGGACATAAAGAGTGTAAAAACTCTCCAAATGTTTTGTATGCTTTTGGCTATTCTCTTTAGCCATTATCAATGTTTTGTTTTTTATTTCTTTGTTTTTTATCTTTAACTGAATGTGTAGGTTTTATATATGTTGTTATCAGTGTTAGTTAGTTAGATCCAGTGACAGTGTTATGTCGAGTGTTCATTGTGAATATATCTTTTGTATCATTAATGATTCAAGAAAACAACGAAACTCCAAATGTGAATCAACAAGTATATATTGAAATAACATACAAGAACAAAATATACAATAATTTGTATTCAATGTATAGATTAAGGAAAATTGCTTCCTTTTACCGTATTTTGATTTGTAATTTGATTGTTCAAAAGAAAGTTCTCTTTAGAGAGAAATGTTCAGGAATCAATGTTAGAACAAGTCTGCTGTTAGAATAGATAACACAAGAATACAATTGATCAGAAAGTGTGTTGTGTTAGAGAAATCAACAGAGTCCTGGTTGATTGAACTTGGCTGAGTATATATGTATTACAAAATTCCGTGTCTGTGTGTACGTTTGAAATGTGAGTTGACAGGTGAAATTTAGTGGACTCTACTGGCGACTTGTGAAAAAGTCGCCTCTTTTAAAGCTACAGATAGGCTCCCAGTGAAACTGCAAGAAAAGATGATTTTGCATTAAAATATGTGATTGCTTAAAATTTGACCAATCGCTAAATTTGTACTAACAAAACAAGTAAGCAAGTTCAAAACTGAAAAATTCAAAGCAACTACTGCGATGGATAAATTGTCCTATAGAAAGGCAGTATTGATTTATTAGCCAATCGCAGATGAATAAAATGTGGCCGAGGAAAAACATAGCAGTCGCTACAATAGGAGCCAAAGAGTGTGAGTTCAATACCTGGTTATGGCAGTGGAGAACTTGGAGAGGGAATTAACAGGAGATAACTGATAACTGACATCCATTAGACATGGAACCTAGAACAGTCTACCCCAGTGAGCAAAATAAAGGGTTCAGTTCAACATTCCAACCACCTGAAGAAGGCTGGAGCATACAATGCCGCATTCCACTCTATCAACTTGTTTGCACAAAGCATTCATTCCTGTAACAAATTCTTACTTTAAATTCCTATTTGTATTTTTCATTCTACTGATTTACTTGCAGAGCCTATCTCAAACGACATAATTATTTATGCTTTTATTTCAAATATTTGTTCATATTTTACATTTAATAGAAACTGCTTTTGGTGAAATTCGAATCTAGAACTCACTGCAACTGGCAAATATTGGTTTACTACTGAACACAGTCGATTATCATTATTTTAATATGTGTATAACAGCTATGGATTAAATAGCAGTGCAGTTTGTGTTCTCTAGCCGTGGTTGGTAACCAGTCTAGAAGAATAACTCTGAATTCTAAACCCAGCTACCTGAAGCTGTACAAAGATGGTTAGCTATGGAGTGCAGTTACTATACCTGTAAAACAAACAGACGATGAATATCAATACTTATAGATAATCCCACAAACGGATATTGAGATCAAGGAGAGATGTTTGATGGAAGATATATATATATATATATATATATATATATATATATATATATATATATATATATATATATTTTCTTGAGTTCATATAAGTGTTTTGTTATCTGGACATAAAGAGTGTAAAACTCTCCAAATGTTTTGTATGCTTTTGGCTATTCTCTTTAGCCATTATCAATGTTTTTTTTTTATTTCTTTGTTTTTTATCTTTAACTGAATGTGTAGGTTTTATATATGTATCTAGAGTGAAGGGAATTTGATTCAAACACAGCCAGATGAGTGTTTGGTAGGTCTCCATGTGTGTTTGAATGAGTCTTAATTGAGTTGTGGTTAAAGAGATGAAATGTGAGTCTTCACTAATTGTAATGAAAATTTTCCATTATGGAGTGAAATTGCCTGATTATTTAAAAATAACAATAAAAGCTTGTGCTTGAAGACCGCTCAGGAGTTATCAACAATCTTAGTTTGGCCTTATATATATATATATATATATATATATATATATATATAAACTATATTATTGTAGAGATTCACTTTCTGGTGAATGTATTTTTTTTTCTTATTTAGGTTATTACGTTAAAACCAACGAACGAGAAGGAGCTGAAGACGAATGTAAAAGATGTCCACGCGGAACACAGAATCCTTTTAATAGTAGTTCATTTGATATTAAAAAATGTTATAAAAGTATTTGCAAATTAGGTAAGTAAAGAGTATTTAATATTTTAAATTGTTAATCAATTTTTAAAATTTCTTGGAAAATTTTGTAATTTCTTTTAATAATCAATATTATAAAAGTATAGCTAATTCTGTCTGTTACACACTATCTGCATGTGAATTTGTATGCACATATACAATGTATGTGCTACAGTGGCGGCCCTAGGATTGCTGGCAGCCCAGGTAAACTGAACTTCGATGCCCTTACAAGTATATTTTTTAAAATTTTCACAAGGAGAAAAACTGAAAATGTAGAATTACGAGTATATTAAAATATACAACTTAATACAAGTTCCAGAAAACCTTCATTATCCTACCTAAGACATTTTTCTAACCTTTAGATCTACAAATCTTTTCATGGCACTTATTACACCTATCTTCATTAGAAGATCATTTTCTATTGACAAAATAACCAAAGAATTGTCTTGAGTCATGGACGACCGCAAGTATTTTTTTTATATCAGCTTTAATTTTGGAAGATCCCAAATATGACATGGCAGTATAACCGCGGCCTCGATCTGGATGGTGCCACAGGTAGCTACCCAAGTTGCCAGTACCTTGAGCCAACTTTGCTTATATGTAAGACATTGGAATAATATATTCCTCTCTCAATCAGTCTGAACAGCACATAAAATAAAACCATAAAACGAAGAAGTAATTTCTGTTTGTGTCTGGCAATAACTTTTGAGTAAGAAAGGATTCGAACAGAGCATTTACTTAAATATTTGTATCTATAAAAAGAACGTATAAACATAAAAAATGTCTTAAAAAATAATTGTCAGACTTTGTCCATTTCATAATGTGTGACATTATTTGTTTACATTTGGATACACATTGAGCAGATATGAATGTATGAGAGAAAATCATGGAGAATTGTGTTTAAAAACAGTAAAATCGACCTTGCTAACCGAATGCTCCTCTGTGGCCAAAACGGTTAAGGCATGTCAAGCTAAATGACGGTTCTGTATAGGATACAGGTTTGATTCCTGTTGGAGGACAAATATTTTCTATGAAAATTTCTCGGACATTCAGGCCGGTAAATGTTGTTAATACTGTTTATTATAAACAGAGCATTTACTTAAATATTTGTATCTATAAAAAGAACGCATAAACATAAAAAAAAAAATGTCTTAAAAAAAACCTTTATCTAGATATCTTGACAAAATGTCAGTGGCATGCTTCGATGATTGATAAGAGTGGATGAGTGAGCACTTGGTCAAATTGCTCTCCCACAGCTATCTCAGGTTGCACAGTTACCACCATTGTCGGTCTTGATAAGAACCAATAAATATCTTCAAATCATGATTTTGATTCATTTTTCAAGTTTAAACAATGTTATTTAATTTCTCCATCATTTAGATGATTCCGTAGCTGTAGCTGATAACCGCTGCGAATGTGATCGATCAAAAGGTTGGTTTGGTAAAAATCACCTTGCTTGTCAACTTAATTATGATGGCTGCCCTGAAGGGAAAGAACTAACACAAAGAGGTAATATAAATAATTTTTTTTTTTTTTTTTTTTTTTTTTTACTGGCCTAGATTTTAAAATTTGGTATTGCCATAAATCTGACTTCATTTTGTTAAATGTTAGATTAATGTCAAATGTTGAGGGCGAACACAATTGTTCAGTGAGTCAGTTAACCCTAGAACACTAACGATGGGTATAATATACCCAGCGCAAATTTTCCTAATTTTAATTACAATTTTCAGTACCTGATTTTCTTACCTAAATAATATTTTACAATTCCTATTAATGTTAACTCAAAGTACAAAGTTTGAAGTGCCTGCATGTAAAATATTTCAAATAAAGATTTATATTTAATATTTTTTGATATTTTCAAAATTGGGTATGATATACCCATGGTTAGTAGTGGTGTAATTTTAATTGATGGTTAGTGTTCTTGGGTTAAGAGCTGTGTTCGAATTCCAATCAAGTTTATTAGATTCACTTACATGCAAATACCCTTGGGAAAGGTATGAATCTATCTCTTCTCCGCTCAGCTATGGGTTCAATTGCAGGACAGGCTGGTTTCTGTAGCCTTGGTTGGCAACCAGTCTACCACAGAAAGAAATGGTAACCTTGTGCATGAAAATCTTCTGCTTAGCCAGTCACGAAATGAAAGAGATATGATCGCCCAAGCTATGCTAGACTTCCTGGCCTCCAACGTTATGGCTTTATGGTTAGTTTCATCTTTCTATCCCAGCTGATAGGGATGATTTTTTTTTTTAATGAAATAATAATTTAAAAAAAAGAAATTAAAATAGGGTTGATTCAAAGAAAAATCCTCGATACAAATGCAAATTATTTTAAAGGTCTAAAAGTGTTTTAATTGTTATATTAATGAAAAATGCAGAGTAAGGTATTTTTTTTAACTTGGATATTCCCCAAAATATATATCTGGTGCCGTGGTGGTGGTGTTATTATTATTATGATTATAATTATTATGATTATAATTATTATTATTATGATGATGATTATAATTATTATTATGATGATGATTATAATTATTATTATGATGATGATTATAATTATTATTATGATGATGATTATAATTATTATTATGATGATGATTATAATTATTATTATGATGATGATTAATTATTATTATGATGATGATTATAATTATTATTATGATGATGATTATAATTATTATTATGATGATGATTATAATTATTATTATGATGATGATTATAATTATTATGATGATGATTGATTATTATGATGAATTATAATTATTATTATGATGATGATTATAATAATTATTATTATGATGATGATTATAATAATTATGATTATTATGATGATTATAATAATTATGATTATTATGATTATGATTATAATAATTGTTATGATTATTATAATAATTATAATTTATTATTATAATAATAATAATAATAATAATAATAATAATTATTATTATAGGGAGCAACGCTTCAATAAAGTGATACTGGGGGACAAATATATGAACCGCAGTATAACTATTATGGCATCCAGGCTGATACCAGGCCTCCGTGTATTACAGGCAAATGAGTATGGCATGTTAAGAGCTTTTGTTAAAAGCAGTGCATCACCTTGCAGGTGGGGCCCAGCTAGCAATACTTTCAGGTCAGGTAACCCAGCCCGTTCAGAGGGCCTCCAATGGAGGGTGTTCCCAGGTATCTAGATGTGACTCCCAAATAACCTTGGCTGTTTCATTCTTCAAACATAAATTAACAATCCTCTTGATGCGATGCTCCCCAACTATTCCCTCTCATGAACAGACTATCAGCCCCTCAAGGGGACATGCCCAACTTCTTAAGGTTAGGCAACTGACAAATCTATGGTACAGAACGGGATATTTTCTGTAGCTCATCATAATTCAACAATTAAAACATATGTTAACACTTTCAATCAATTAAGATTTTAATCTATGAGACCCATACCTGGTGAAACTTGTTTTTTTTTTTTTTTTTTTTTTTTTTTTTTTTACTGTTGTCCTCATCTTTATTTTCATATTCACCCGAACAATGTAAATAGTGTAAATAGCTACAATACCTCGTCACAGAGGTGCAGCTAGTTGTTCTGATATATAGGTAAATATCTAGAGAGATGAATCTTTTGAACACTAATGGTGACTGAAAAGACATTTTAATCCAGGTAAGTACAAATAACTGTGTGTTTATTCATTGTTGACTCGTATTTACTTTCATCTTTAAGTTACTTTTTATCACAAATTTTACTCAGGCAGTACTGATCGGAAATAAAGTATAATAGATGAAGCATTGCCAACCATTATTATCCTGTTATAATTGTGCTTGTTCTTCCCTTCGTTAATTCGCACAACTGTTACGTTCTGCCAGTACCTCATAAATTATGGACTATTCCATTTTGATCGTGTGGAAAGAGGGGAAAGATACTACTTGGTTTCAGTGAGAAAATAAGAAAGAATGAAAGAAAGAAAGAAAGATAAAAGTGTTTAATGTCTCCTGCCACTACCTCATAAATAATGGACTATTCCGTGATGATCGTGTGGAAAGAGGGGGAAAGACACTACTTGGTTTCTGTGAGAAAATAAGAAAGAATGAAAGAAAGAAGGAATTAAAGAAAGAAAGAAAGAAAGATAAGTGTTTAATGTCTCCTGCCACTACCTCATAAATAATGGACTATTCCGTGATGATCTTATGGAAAAAGGGGGAAAGACACAACTTGGTTTCTGTGAGAAAATGAGTGAATGAAAAAAGAGTGTTTAATGGCTGGTTTAGTGAAATGGAAAAAACTGTCAATTTCAAATGTTTTCATTTGTACCCCCTTACTTCTTAAAATAATGACCAGCTTTCATATTTATGATTGTTATTACAATATTTTGTTAAAGTTGTCAAGCTCAAATATTTAACGATGCGATAGGTTAACTTCTACAGATATTTGATTGTCATAAAACTCGCCATGAACTTACTAAATCCTTAATTTAAAAATTTAGATTCATCAGAATATTAAAATAGAAAAACCGTGAAATTTTCATGGATTAAAACTAATTCATTTCTATTGTTAGTATTTACTTTCATCTTAAAGTGAAGTGTAATTGCTTTTACTCAGGTAGTCAATCTACGGCAATGTGTAGACAGTATAGGTAGGAAAATAAAGAAGTTCTGCCAAGATTCGAACTCACGCTCCAATTTGTCTGCGGGCAGCATAGCTGAACGCACTTGTCAGTTTTAAAATATTATGACTAATGTTCTTTTGGGACTGTTAATAAGTTACTAAAAATAAATATGTAGTCATTTTGTTTTTATTCTTACTGGTCTTGTTATTGATTCTTTTTTTTTTTTTTTTTTTTTTTTTTTTTTAGGGATATGTGAACGCTGCATAAATTTCCACTACAAGGACTGGCATGGTAATGGTTTCTGCAAAAAACATTATAAGTATGTTTGTTTATATTTTAATTTAACAATTCCACATATCCATTGGGAAAGTTTTCACCCTGTCAAACTTCAAAATCAGAATGAACAATATCTTCATGTTTATGTTCAGATTTTTCTTCGACCTGACTTAATTGACGATCAACTGGTACTGTGTCAACATTACCAGATAAGAGTAAATTTCTTTGTTCAACAAAACTGCATTTTCTCTATTCAAACCTGCGTCTATCGGGGCAGAGGGAGCTCCCATTTAGCCTGGAACGCCTTACCGGTTGGCCACGAAGAAACCATATAGTTTCGTATCCAAACAGAAATTTTAGAATGGATTTTTCTTACTCCGGCAGATTTGTAATACTTTAAACGTTATTTTTAATGATGCTCGTACTTGAGTAGGTGCTCCGTTTATTTATTAAACAGTATATTTATTTAATTTCACCTACCGGCCTGAATATTCGAGAAATCTTATTTAAGAAAAATCTTGTATAGGCTTTACCTCGGTTTCATAGGTTTTAATTAGTGGCTGAAGTAATTTTCAAACAATTCTTTTTAAAGGGTTTGAAAAAAAATTTTGGAGGAATGGAAGTTATTAATTTTATGCCTCCTGGTACATTTGTCCTGCAAACAATATTTGGCGGATTCATGTGAGTCCGAGTAAAATGTCACAAAACATGGAATTCAAATGAGTAATAAACGTATTACACAGACATGTTACAGAAGGATAATATAAGAAATTAAATTACAGTTGGGAAAAGTCCAAAACAAATTTCCGTATGTGTCACTGAAATACTTACATGCCTCGTGTCTAACGGGACGAAAAGAAACGATATTATTGCTTTGAAAGTCAAACGGAAAAGAGAAAAAGGCTTTCGAATATTGCGCCGCCTGTGATTATCGTCAAGGGCGGTAATCCAAGAAGACAATAGTCTTACGACTATTGATGGCTTATCTAAAGGCATATAACCTATTTTTGTAGTGTAGATTGTTTTTAATGAATAGATTATAAAAACTACTATAAATGCAACCCAATATTATCCGCCACATGTTACTTGATCGTCAGCGAAATCCTTTTCTTACACATGCCTTTAGTCTTGGTACAACTACAGTGTAACCCGGATATAAGAGACCCGGATATAAGATAAATCCGGATATAAGAGAGATTTTCTCTGGTCCCAAATTAGAGCCCATACTTACCTAAACAAAATAGACCCAACCCGGATATAAGAGACTTCTTCTCCGGTCCCGACAACTCTCTTATATTCGGGTTACACTGTACATGTTATGCATGGACCTTGGGTAAACATTAGTCTTTTAGAGACCTCAACTTATCACAAGAGCCGGGAAATATTTTTAGACAATTTTGGAATGGCGAGAGTCGTGTTCAGGAGCGTAGCTTAGATTTCTGGCCCAAATGATTTATCTTCTTACACTCATTAATAAAAATTACAAATTAAGCCCTGAAAAAAACTGAAATCTTTGTAAAAATTAAGACATATTTCAAATTGATGTTTTTTTTTTTAATTTCTATGAAACGACTTCCTGTTAGCTGAGTAGCAGTTAAAACTTTAGTGCAATTTATGATTTTTTTAATGCTTATAAATTTTCCCGCTTTTTTTTCCCGCTTTTAAGTTTGTTTTCTCTACTTAAAGTCTGTTTTGTTTGCATTCGCCCACAGCTGTTCACTGCTACAGATGGATGAAATAAAAGGCAATTACGCCCAAAGAAACAAATGCATTAAAAAAGGCCTGAGTAAGTCTCTTTTTTTTCTTTGAAAATATTTCTTTACATATTAACTGTTTGGTCAACTTTCATTTCATTTTCACTTTGAACTACTTCCCTACCTGTTGATCAGCCAGATAACTAAACAAAATGGCGAAACAGGATAGAAACCTCAGTGTTACGAGATATAGAAAGCTAAAAAGGATAATATCAAAAATGATTCAGCAGATATGAACACTTCGAAAGCACGATGAAATTTAACCCTTGAAAAAGTTAAAATGTTTCCTCGCCTGGACTTTTTTTTTTGTCCGAAATGACAACAATATGTAGGACAATTGTAAGCATTTGAGCTAAGACTGGCACAAAATTACAACGGTGGGGATTAAAATCACGATCTGCAAACAGCTGGTAAAACGTCTTTAGTGTGTTGGCTTCATTTATCTCTATCTATAAAAGGCAGGATGTGTATGTATGTATGTGTGTGTGTGTGTGTGTGTGTAACGAATGCACGCCTGCAATTTTCGACGGATTTGCACCAAAATTTACATGCACATGCTCCAAGTTAGCGGGAAGGCAAAGACCGACTTTGCATTTCCCAACTCTCACCGATAGTGGAAATAATCGATTTTTCATGCTTCTACGGCAATTTTCATGTAGTTTGCGGCCATTTTGTACTGGCCAGAGTGAGAGCCAATAGCTGGCTGCCACGAATAGACAGGAAGATTCTATTGGCCAGCGTGAGAGCCAACAGCTGACTGACACGAATGTTAACTAGCATGCTAGCATGCAAAAAAAAATCGATAGCTGCATTCGTCACAAGTGGGAAAAATTTAAATCTGTACTTTACTCCAATTGGCTCATTCGCTTGCTTAAACTCAACGTTGATTCTGATTCCGCAGAACTGGGTTAGGTGTGAAAAAGTATTTGTTGTTAACATTCTTTTTTCATTCGGTTTTTCCAGTTAAGAGTCCTTTTTTTAAAGCTGATCGTTTTGTGTTCATTTTGTTTAGTTCTTTTTTCATAATAGATTTAATGTTTAGTATAGAGCATAGAAAAAATTCACATTGTGAAATAGGCAAGAAGTAAAGCATGTAGCAACATCAGCACGGCAAAGGGCACTCCTTTAAAGGCAAGGAAGGGCAAAAATATTTTAAGTCAAGTGATAGCGATTGCTGTATGAGTCGTATAATTTTTTTAATCAAGCACGGGCAACGTCGTGCCATGCTGCTAGTAACTATTAAGTTTTCTACGAGAATAATAATTTTTTATGTTAATTCATTGTAAATTGATCACCTATGCTCTGGTGAGCTTTTTACCCAGGTGCCCCAACTACGCGTGCTCCCAGATTGGCAACTAACTCTTATCGTTTTACTATTGAGCTAGCTGGATGCAACCGCCACTTCTACTCGAACAATTTCTTTTTTCGCACTTACGCCCCCACCCCACCCCGTGCAACTCTTTCCGATTTCTTGCTTCCCTGGTAACTACAATTCTTCAAATATTTAAATGCAACGTCAATCGCCATCTTCTTGAACCAGGTTCCTTCACCCCCCCCTTTCCTCAATCCTCCCCCATTTGCAGTTATTCCTCATTTTCTTTCTCTTTCCCTCTCTGAAACCCCCTCCCCGCATGTTAGTGGTATTACCTCTTTGCTTGGAGTGAATGGTTATTTTAACTGATCACTTATTTATTGATCTCCCTACGCATGTAAATTCATTGTAATTAGATCCCCTATTTCTTGGAGAGTTGGGTTCCTAATACTAGACCAAGTTTAATAAATATATAGTCTATAAGTTTAGAGTTATTAACATTTCAGGAATAATATTAGAAAACCATAGCCAAAGGTGAGGTAGATAAATCTAGTATGAAAGACCATGACGAGAAAGGGAGATAATAAAGAAATGAAAGAAAGATATGAAATAAGGAATGAAAGAAATTAAGAAAGAAATTAAATAAATAAATGAAATAAATAAAAAATTAAAGGAAATAAATAAATAAATAAAGGAAGGAAGGAAATAAAGGAAGGAAGGAAAGAAAGAAATAAAGGAAAGAAAGAAATAAAGGAAAGAAAGAAATAAAGGAAAGAAATAAAATAAAGGAAAGAATGAAAAAAATAAAGGAAAGAATGAAAGACGGAAAGGAAAGAAATAAAGGAAAGGAAAGAATGAAAGAAATAAAGGAAATAAATAAATAAAGGAAATAAATAAATAAAGGAAATAAATAAATAAAGGAAAGAAATAAAGGAAAGGAAAGGAAAGAATGAAAGAAGGAAAGGAAAGAAATAAAGGAAATAAATAAATAAAGGAAAGAAAGAAATAAAGGAAAGAAAGAAAGAAATAAAGGAAAGAAATAAAGGAAAGAAAGAAATAAAGGAAAGAAAGAAAGGGAAGAAAGAAATAAAGGAAATAAATAAAGGAAAGAAATAAATAAAGGAAAGAAGGAAAGAAAGAAAGGAATAATAAATAAAGAAAGAACTGAAATAAAGTATGTCTGTTAAATAAATCATTTGTATTTACAAACACGTGTACATGAAAAAAAAATAGCCTTTAGTTGAGTTAATCTTTGGGTTGTTGATCCACAGAAAAAAATATAGTTTAGAAAAGACTTTTAAATAGTGCACAGAAAAATCTGTGATTGAGAAAAAACTTATTGTTATCCAAGATTCGCTGAATGCCTTTGTTGTTATCCGAGATGATACCTTTGAAGCCAGCGACACATGTTTCTTTCAGCATACACTGGGGTGGAGGAGAAAAAGCTGTGTAACCACCTCTTCTCTTGTGGCCGAGCGGTCTAGAGACAGTCGCATCTTTGATCTGTGAAAGTCGAAATCCGTGTTTTTTTTTTTTTTTGTTTGTTTCTGATTGGTTAAATATTTCACATGGTGATGTCAATTTCTAGCCAATATACACTTTGAATTAAACGGTGTTGTATTGTGGATTCGTTTTCGCATGTTTATAATATTGTCTCTTGTCGGGTAGAAAAAAATTGGGGCGTCTTTTTTTGTTTTGTTTTTTTAATATGGCCGTATGTGGGGGTTTGTAATTGTGTTAGAAATAGGGTTTATTTCCTATACATTTATTTTCTACTAGCAGTAGAGCCCGGCATTGCCCGGAGATGTAACAGTAAGAGATAGATCAAGTATCAACCATCATAAAGACTGAAAAATAAACGGACACGGATGTCTTAATTAGTGTTTTTTTTGTTTTGTTTTTTTTTGTTTGTTTTTTTTTTGTTTTTTTTTACGAATTGGTCAAACCCAAACTTAAACAAAAACATTGTTTTCAATCGTTATGAGTCTACCGATTGAATAGAATTTTATTATAAACAATTGTCTTGTAAATGGAATTTTTAAAGCATTCTGAATGTAAAAATAAAGAAAAAAGTGTGCAAGACAATAAGAAACACTACATGCCAAAAAAGTGAAGTTTTGTTGAAATCGGTTGAAAAATGCAGGAAATCCGATCCCATATATAAACGAACACACACACACACAATTTGGGTTTTATAATAAGTATAACTCGATATGAGTTGTCCCCCTTTCATTCTCACGAGTGATGCCTCTTAATCGTGTTTTCAAATTGATTTCGTGCAAAAACAATTTTTTCTCCAATTTTTGGCGCTGTCAGAACCACCGCAAGGTAATTTTATGTAGTCCTGTGAAGTTTTGTTGAAATCGGTTGAAAAATGTAGGAAATCCGATCCAATATATAAACACACACACACACACACACAATCTGCGTTTTATAATAAGTAAGATGTATTTAACTTGGCTAAAATGTACTGGTTCGGATGGTATATCAACGACGTATTTCAAGTCACAATTGTCTGAAGAAATAATATTTTCTTTCCTCCCGCCACGCCCATTTTTTTTTTTTTTTTTTTTTTTTTTACACTGACGAAGACTGAAAATGGATCGGCCAAAACTTTGTTACCAAACCAATATCAGGGTCTCAAAGAAGTAGTTCAGTTATCCAAACAAAATTTAATAAGCTAAGTAAAGCTTACTGAGTGGTAGAATCTATTTCAATTCTCTGTCAACGTTGTATTATTTATTTATTTATTTATTGTTTTTAAGAATCAACAACAACCACACCATCAACAACAGTAACATCGGCATCTACATCTGCAACGTATTCAATAACTAAAGACACAACAACCAAAATAGAAACAACACCAAAGACAATCACAACAACTGGAGAATTTCTTTCAGATTTAATCAGTCTCACTTTGTCTCCAACAAAAGTATCACAAAATCTTCCTGTTGTTGGAAATAGGGGACCACTGGATAACACTGGCGGGTAAGGGCAGTTTAAAATAATTCAATTGTAAATCTTCAGATAGTAATTTACGATAAATACACAAACTTGAAAATGGTACAAGTTAAGGATTATGTAACCTAAAAATGTGTACTTCCATCTAAATTTCACACTTTAATGCCTATGATGCTGAATTCTAAACTTTAATCAGTATATTAATAGAATTCAAGACATAACATAATATTGATGTACAAAACGATCAAAAAACATTGTAATGTGTACTATATGAGACTATTGTTGTCACTATATAAATTCATCTATACTAGTTGTATCTGTGAAATTTTCACGGCTCTCCTGCCTTGAATTTTTTGATGAGTCCTAATTTTTAATACAATTAAATGCGTTCCTTGTAAGATTTCTATTGCTATAGAATACCATACTGTATCATTAAATATTTTAGCCTAATAACAAAATATGATAAACAATATTTTTATTATTTTATATCGTATTGTCATTTTTATCTTTATATCCCGACTACTACCTAGAGTTTATTTTATTAATGAAAGAAAATTATCAATTAAATTTCAATAATACTTAAGAAAATACACTAGGTACATGTAATAGACGAACATAATATTTATTTTACTGCTAAAAAATTCTTTACTCTACCTACAGTTCCTTTCTATTTCATGCCTTTCTTCCGTATTTCAATTTCACTGAAGCAGACGTTAAGTGTCTGATAGCTTTTTCTTTTTCTTTCCTTTTTCTCTCTCTTTCTTTTTTCTCTCTCTCTTTCTTTTTTCTCTCTCTCTTTCTTTTTTTCTCTCTTTCTTTTTTCTCTCTCTCTTTCTTTTTTCTCTCTCTTTCTTTTTCTCTCTCTTTCTTTTTCTTTTTCTTTTCTCTCTCTCTTTTTCTTTCTCTCTCTCTCCCTTTTTTCTCTCTCTTTCTTTTTTCTTTCTCTCTCTCTCTTCCTTTTCTTCTCTCTCTTCCTACTACTCCAATCTCAGCCCAACAATTACCAAATTTTTAAAATGATTTGCTACTTGTAATTATTTAAATTGGTAGAATAGGCCGGATACAAAGACGAAAATGAGGAATTCCCCTTTCAACTGTGGCCTATATGATTTCCAGTTCGCTAACGAAAGAATTGAAACTATTGCATCTTATTCCAGTCAGTCGACTTGAATACTCCAGATTCTCGCAATTTCAACGACAAAGAATTCACCCCGAAAAAAAGGGGGATAGACATCAAATCCCAAACAGATAAAGATAGGCTTTTAATTTTGTACCGAATTGATAAATTATTATTAGGTCCACAGAAGCAAACTTCAAACAGAATTGTATACATTTTTTTTTTCTTTTAATTCTTCAGAAATAGAAAACTGGAAGGAATCCTAATTGTTGTTGTTACACTTCTCTCTGTATTGTTGTTGGTGCTTGTTATAGGTACAATGGGTAAGCATTTTCTTTTTTTAAAGAACTACGAGATTAAATTGTAACTAATTTATTTTCTTTTTTATATACCGAACTTTCCTTTTTTTTTTTTAAATTATTAATGCTTTTCAATAATATTTGTTTGAATGATAAAAGCAAGATTACAACGAATCATAAACAATCTTTATCTTTCAAAATCGAATAAGGGACGCAAGTCAAACATAGGTTAATTATTTTGAAAGAAAAGCCGAAAACTGAAATATATCAGACCAGGGTTAAAACTTAGAAATAATCTAAATAGTAGGTGGGACGATATGAAATTCTTGGGACAATAGGGCAAATGAGTTGCTAAATACAACGAAAAATACCCAAAGATCTACATTGCCCCGTCCACTGCACCAGACACTAAATTCATCACAATGGCGATTGCCTTAGATGTATTAAAGGTCTTTTACAAGGTGTGGCATAAAGGTTTTCTATACACTCTCCATCTATGAAATCTTTTGGAAAAATGTTCTTAATTATCAAGTCATTTCTATCAGGTAGATCCATGAAGGCCAGTCTTCTGAATCGTATGAGATCAATGCAGGCGTTCCCTAAGGCTCCCTTCTGGGTCCTACCCTCTTTCTGCTTTATATTAACGATCTGCCTAGTAACAATCCTAGATCTCTAGTAAATATCTGTGTACGTGATACAACGGTGCATCTCCAAAAATCTAGATGACCAGAGACAGGCAGTTTATTTCTCTTCCGACCTCGTCCTAACAGCTTAATATGTTGGGAGGGGAAATGGCTTCAATACAGTGGGATCTCGGTTATCGACCACAATCCGTTCCAGAAAGTCGGCCGAATTTTTACCAGAGTGGGGAAAAAAAAGTCGTAAAATATTTTTATGATTAAAATAAACGCTTTATTTGGCGAAAATTGTTTGAACATGTTAAATGATCGTAAATATTAATTAAAAGAAAAACGAATGATTTATTGCATGGAAATATTTCGACTAGCTGTTATTAGTCTTGGTCACTCTTAATTTAAGTAAAACAATGCAAAGAATCTAGAAATGCTTAAGAATTCAAATCAAAGAAGAAAAAAACGAGTTCATGTTTACACAGTAAGAGCATTACGCTTTTTAGCATAATAATCTCGCTAAAAAGCGTATGCTTTTACTGTGTAAACGTCAACTCTGTTTTCCATTTTATTTTCATGAAACAAACCATTCGTTGGAACTACAAGTTTTTCTTTTAATTATGCAACTACCAGCGGAGACAAGCATCCTAACTTTGACCGTAAATATTGTTTTGTGGATAATTTCACAGAATAAATAACATTAGGAAAGAGAAGCTTTATTTTTTAATAAAGAGTTCTCAAGAACCACGTAACTTCGTGATTTCGATCCAGTCGGTTTCTATCAAATAAATATGATTAATATTTTAAAAAATTGATTTCCCACGAGAAACAGCGAAGAAAGTCTGTCTTCTGAAAACTGATTAACAATTCCTCGACCAGGAACTTTTGCTGGAACCATATAAGCATTTATATCTCTATTTGTATCCTATTAGAGATGTGGGTAGGTAACAGTCTGTTCCCTATATCTACCTACCTTGACCTTGTTCACTTGAAAGACAAGAAGAAAGTACACCTGAAACATCATTTAGAGCACAACTCTATAGTCGCCTGATACTGTTGAATGCCAAAGAGGGACGCGAGAGTTAGCAGGATCATCTCGCAGACAAATTCGCTCAAGTAGTAAGATCAGTCCTTTCTGAAAGGTCATATAAAGTCTTGTAAGTCAAGCTTCATAAATACATAGGACTTGAATTAGTCATCCTTCTTTAAAATGTATTTATGTCACTTTTGTTTACCGACTAATTGTAACCTCAAAACATTTTAGCATTTGTGATAAACAGAAATAAAAAATATGGAGTAAAACTAGTATCAAAATAATTAATAGTAATAACAAAAATGATTTCATACATAAATTTTATTATATAAATTATAAATGTTTAACTATTTTTGGATATTCCATGAATAAAAATTAGTTTTCATTCTTTTTTTTCTCTTACAGCTTACATAAAAAAACGTAAGTATTTTTTAGAATTTTAGTCATATATAAAATTAATAATTATTTTTTTTTTTTTTTTATCTAGTTTTGGTTGATATTTTTTCTTTGTTACGGTTTATCAACCTTTATGGGTTATTTAAAGCTGAATTATATTTAATAATTCTCTTTTTTTTTTTTCTTTTTTTGCAAGCGAATATAGCATTAACCTCTTATTTTTCTTGTTTTGGGGAATAACAATTTTTTCTGTTTAGTCCATAGCTTAGGGGGAGAGATGGGATTTGAACGTAAATGAATGTAACAAAGCCGGCTGGAATTTGAACTCAGTATTATATCGAGTAACTCCAAAAGTTCATTTCATTTATATGTAAGAATATATTTTTTTAGATTTATTAAACAAAATATTAATTGTTACACGATATATATATATATATGCAACAAAAACAGACTATCATTATTGTTTCGTCCGTATGTTGCTTGATATATTGAAAAATAATTGTCATCTTTGATAATGGCTTATGTAAACTGAAAGCTTAGATTGGATTTAAACATGTATCAATATGATTTCCTTTCGTTTTTCAATGATAATATTATTAAGCTTATCAGATAATATGAAAGGAACTTACTTAAAATAAATAGACAAACTTGTCTATATTATTTAATGAAACATGCATTAACGAAAAATTGCTTCCTAAATACACACACACACACACACGTGTATATATATATATATATATAAACACGGAGTGCTATCTTCTTTGTTGTAAGAGGTACGGTTAGTGATGTTTCGTTTTATCTGCACGACATTCATTTAGATTCATTCTTTTCTTTTATGGCTGTCTGCTCTGGTGGTTAGCTAATCCCTGTTGCAGACACTTTCTCGGGCATATCTTATGTTTCTTTAACACCTACAGATCCAATTTGTGGTTTTTACTGCAACTACACAGACCAGTAACAATTTCTGGGAGAGTGCAAAGGCTGACATACTCAAACCCTCGGTCACGATGACTTGTTACTTCATGCTAACACAACCATCAATGGATTCTGAACAGTTCTTTCTACCCAATTTAAATTCAAAACTCTTTGGTCAACCAGTTGTATGGTTTTTCAGATACTTCTCAATGGTGTTGTACACTGAGATAGTTTTCCCAAACTGATAGGATCAAAAATTCACCACATAGACAGAAAGCAGAAGTGATGTCCGTCCATTCACGGTCGACTGAAGATGTAGACACGGCTGGGGAGTGTGTGCTAAGAAATTTAAAAAAAAGATTAATATCTGCAAAAAGCCGGACAAACAACTATTCAATGGTTTAATTGTTAATGTCTTTTATATAGCAGAAAAGAATAGTATAGAAAAAAAACGGGTTACAGAAAAGAAAATAATTGACGTAAAACTCATACACTAGATTCTAGACAGAGAGTGTAGGTGATTAACTTGTTGTTAAATCGTCTCAGTACGATATATGACTCTTTGCGATGGAGGGATAAAGATTTCTGTGCGGGGCTTAAAGTTATAGTGGCGTTCCTCCTCTCAACGCTTGCCCGGGCCAATTCTCTCTAGTCTCTTCAAGAATTTTCTCCAGTCTACCTTTTTCAGCATAACTACGCGTTTATATAGATAAACCCGGCTGGTTATAACAGACCCTCGGCCCCTACTGCTTCAACCAAAATCATGTGAATTCCAAAGTTCCTTCAAGCTTACTGAGCTCTATTTCAATTTTTAATCCATAAAAATAATTTCGACCACTTCCATTGTCTACTGATGATCCAGATTCAATGGGTACAACTTCTACCATAGATGAGATTTCCCCATCAATAAACAAAATGCTCTGATTTAATTTTGCTATTCAAATCTACTCCAATTTCACTAAAGAATATATACGTGTGTGTGTTTCCCAGACTCTCTCTCTCTGTCACACTTATGCGACAAAAAAATAAGATAAAGAAAAGTAATCAACTAAAATACCAACTAAGTTTTATAGTAAGTAAAAAAAAAAAAAAAGGTTTTATTATAATTTTAGTGATTATGGTTAGTGGTTAAAAAGGAAAAAAAAGGCTTACCGGCAACAAGTTAGAAATACTTAAAAAAAAATGTTCAGTTGGGAATTGATAGGTTTTGTCACGTGGTATAAATTACATGTCAGGTCAGCGAATGGTAGCAAACGGACTGCTCTGAGACAGATTTGTACAGCAAGTAACTTTATCAGCCAACTCGCTTAATTTTCTTTGTTGCTAACCACCGAATACGCATACCCGGATGAAAGACCTCCACTTGTAAGGTCATTCAACCACATCAAAGGTTTCTTTAAAGTCTTTTATCTAAATAACCAAGAACTCGAAGAAATTTCCTTCATAAAAATAGATTCTCTTGAGTATCCGGAATAAAACTAAATGAGCCACCATTAACAACTCAAAAAGCCGGTCTAAATCCGAAGATTAGGATGCTGTCCAATCTCCTTTTGCGAAATCAAAAGTCGAATTCAAGCAAATACTGTTCAGAATTGGATTAAAGGCAGAAACGTGTCCGGAATTGGC